CTCAGCTGTTTTCTGATTCTTACCTTTATTTCATTTTCTACTTTTCTTCATCCTAAGAGCTGCATTAGACACAGCAAAACATGCATGTGTGTACTGTGTACACATGATGTGCAGTTCATATGGGTGGGTGGTTTTTAAATGTCTGAAGAATCCCATTGTTCTGCACTTGTATTGTACACACAAATCCATCTCAAGTCACAGATACTTCATCTTTACCAGAATAGACTGTTCACAAGACTAATAGTGAAAGCAGGTTTGACAACACTATTATGGAAGTATTTTCACATTTTATTTCAACATTCAGAAAAGCCATATTATACAGTATCATAAGATGGACTTTGGTGCCAAATTACCTACTTTTAAATTATGGTCTTGCTATTTACTACTTGCATGTCCTTGAACAAGTACTTAACTCTTCTATACTTCAATTTTCTAATCTATAAAATGGAAATATACTTCCTTCTCAGGGACACTGAGCTAAATGAGTTAACATGTAAAGACTTTATAACAGTCTTTGGCACATAACAGGACAAAACATTACCTATCATTATAATCTGAGACTGAAATATATGATTAGAACTGTGGTATCCATCTCAACTATTAATAACTGACCATTTTAACAAAGGCAATGAATTGGCATATTTTCAGAAAGACAAGGGAGTTCATGAAAGTGGACTATAGGAAATCAATTAATATAAAGCGAGTAATAGGAAGTGTGATAGAAAACTTGTCCAGCATGGTGCATACCACTTGCAGTGACAAAGAGTTCACCCTTCGTTTTTTTTTTTTGTTGTTGTTTGTTTGTTTGTTTGTTTGTTTGAGATGGGGTCTTGCTATATTGCATAGGCTGGTCTTGAACCCATGGGTTCAAATGTTCCTATGGCCTCCTGAATGCTGAGATTGCACGTGTGGCCTCCACACCCAATCTTACTTTTTCTTTTGCCTTCTGTGTTGCTCATATTACATTTACAGATTGTAATATATGTATTTTTATTTCAACAACTCCAAAATTGGAATATGATTTTAAAATGATGCTATGTAAATATGTCATCATGTTTTCTGAACCATGTGCTACTCATAAAAGTGGTACTTTCCGATTTGATGAAGTATAGTCATCATTATGTCAATTTTAAATAATAATACAGTGAACCATCTGTATAGAAACCCATCAATTTAAAGTCTCAAAAAAAAAAAAAAAAGTGATCACCAGGAGGCAAGACTGTTGCAGAGGCTGAGCACCCAAGTGGAGCAGTAATGGAAATAACTGGTAACAGTGTATGTAAAGGCTGGTAGAGGAGAGCACTCTGGAAGATGGCAAGATCAGAAGCAAAAGAGCCCAACTTCCTTACCTATGAACTGCACTGGAATAATCTGCTTGGAACTACAGTCTATTGGAAGGCCTGGATGGTAAATTAATTTCAATTTTAGCTCTTAGCTCCCAGCTCTTGGGAGGCTGTAAACAGGCAGATCACTATGAGTCCAATCTAGTAGTGAGACCCTGAACACCCTGTAGACCCTTCCCTAAAATACAAAACTAAATTAATTAATTAATTAAAAATGCTCAATATCACTGGTGATTTGAGAGATGCAAATTAAAACAACACTAAGATTACATCTTACTCCAGAAAGAATGGCTATTTTCAAAAAGTCAATCAATAAGTGCTGGCAAGGCTGAGGAAAGGGAAACCCTCTCCATTGTTGGTGAGAGTTAAAATTAATGTAATCAATATGGAAATCAGTATGAAGATTCCTCAAAAAAACTAAAACTTGAGGTTCCATTTGACTCAGCTATTCCTCTTCTAGATAGCTTCTCAAGAGTTAAAAGCATCATACTACAGCAAATATGCACGCCCATGTTTCTATAAGCACAATTCACTTTAAGTCTTGGAAACAGTCCATCAACAGATGACTGAATAAAGAAAATGTGGTATTTATACACAATGAAGTACTACTCTACCATAAGGGAGAATAAACTTGAGGCACTATTACATAAAAGGATACACCATGAGACCATAATTTTAAGTGAAAAAAATCAGACACACATATTTAAATATTGCATTGTTTATCTTGTGTGAGAAACTCAAAGGGTAAATAGGCACCAAAATGGAACACAGGTATCGGGAAATAGGAAGAACATGTTCAAATGGGGAGAACAAGGGAGGGGACAAGGTAAAGGGAAGGGAGGAAATAGGGATATATAAAAAAAAAGAAGGAAATAAAATAATAGAACAATTTTAAGAGTGACCAGACTACTTAGTTGTGCATATATTCCAGAGATAGCTCACATGGGACTCACAAGAGGCATGGTGGGCAATAAGGGCCTTGTATTTCCAGCATTGGAAGCTGCACTACAGTCAGATAGATAGAAACTACGATTGCAAGTCCCTTCCTGTCCACCTAGAGTGATTTCCAGGGGTCCTAAAGGGCTACCACCTTTTCCCACTCTTGCTTTCATTTTTCTTCTTTGCACCTCTTGGGAGCCATACCCTTAAGAACTAAGATGTTTAAACAAACAACAAAATGGTCCTTCCTCTGTATCCCCCCTCTCCAGTTCAGTCCTGTCAGAGATGGGTATTCTATTGGCATCTAAATATTATAGGTGCTTGAATTCAGCATGTGCAAGGCAGGCGCTTATGCCCCGAGCTATCTCCCCAGCCCTGATCATTTTCTTTGCAATTAATTTGAAAATGAGTTTAGTTTTTATGATTTCATAAGACTGATAATTTATAAAATTATCTTCGTGTGTGTGTTATACTACTGAGCTACATCCTCAGGCAAATAATATATTTTAGAGGTTCCACATTTAGAGTTCAAATAACTAAGTCAAAATAGAACTTTCTGTAGCAATCCCACCAAGGAATGGGAAGAATGCTTGAAATGTGGTTCTAGTTTACTGCAATAAGCATAAAAACACATTTTCAGAAAAGTTAAACTAGGAGTTACAAGCTGGAAAATTTCCAACTAGAAATTCCAAAAGTACTTTGTATGTAATGTTGAACTGAGATTGAGAAAACATGGCAAACTAGCGTGTTCAACTAGTAAAAGGTTTCATTTTTGGTTGGTATTTAGAATTCTGAGTTCTCTCCTTTCAGGAAAGAATCAAGCAACTATTAAAACACAATGTATCTTGTCAGAGTCAACCATACAATCAGTGTCTGATTGAAGTTGAACCACAATCCTGCTGAAGGAATGTACACATAGAAGAACCAAAGGAAAGGTATATGTGTCCAATATACACCTCTATGTATATCTTTAATACAGACAAAAATAATTTGATTTTTCTTTATTAGTGCTAGATATTTATTTCCCATAGTTATATCTTTGGAAAAGGGTTTTCAAACAACAGCCTGAAATAACTTCACTAATCAATGAGAAATAAAACATGAAAACCATAAAGAGAAACAAGTAGGCTGAATACCAAAGAACTCTAAAGCAGTTTAAGAAAATTGACTTTAATGGCTACAAAAGACAATTAAATTTCAATCTGTATTCTATATAAATTTTGTCCCAAAATAATGGGTTTATCAAATCCATTCCTTTGATAATCATTTGTCAAGGCACCACTTATATCACTAAGTTCTGGTCTTAACAATAGGACCAAAAGCCCCTGTTCTTCACAGCTTATATTAAATTGGGGCAGAAAGATACCATAGACAATATAAACAAGGCACATGTTAAGTAACAATTGGGTCAATGAAGCACATGGCAAGTACAGCAGGCTGTAAATTTAGTAATCACTGACTGTACAATATCAAAATGAGTCCTACAGCAGGGGATGTAGTCCAATGGTAGAGTGCTTACCTAGTATGCACAAGGCCCTGAGTTCAAGCCCCAGTGCCCACTGCCAAAAAAAAGGAGAGCTCAAAAGTGCATCACATGTTCAATGGGGAAAGAGCTGAGAAGTTTACAAAATAAACATCAACAAAGATCAAATAATCTTTCCTTGGGCCAGATGTGGTGGTGCATGCCAGTAATCCCAGGACTTGGGAGGCTGAGGCGGGAGGAACACTGTGAGTCTGAAATCAGCCTGGGCAATAAAATGAGCCTCTAAGCAGCCTGAACTGCACAGAGCAACCGTGTCTCAATAAGTAAATAAATAAATAAATAAATCTAACAATCTTTCCTTTTTTGCAAGGGTGGAGAGTACTAGTGAGTTTGAACTCAGGGCCTTTGAAATCAGCTGCATCCCCAATTTAACATTAATTTTTTTTTAGAAAAAGTTTTATTAGTATATGTTTGTAGTACATAATAGTTATATTCAAGTCACTAGGTTACCCAGTCTGAGCTTGCTTGAGTTTGTAATCTTCCTGCCGTGGCCTCCCAGGATACAAGTATAAGCATATGCCACCAGGCCTGGCTCTTAAATTAGTACCTTATTATTTTATAATTTCAAAATGAGTTTGTGAAATTGCAGTGAAAAAGATTTTCAAGTCCAAAGACTTGGGAAATGCTGTGCTAGTTATTAATTTTTTTTTCTTTTTTTACCCAGGATCAAACTTGGGACCTTGCACTTCCCAGGCAGGAACTTACTCCACTGAGCTGTATCCCCAGCCCTGTTAAGTTGATTTTGGGCCTCATCATCTAGACCAGTTCTCATGGGAGAATGAGAAGTGCTCACAGGGAGAAATTTTGGCAGCATCTGGAGACATCTTATTATCATAATCCAGGAGGTGCTACTAGAAACCAGTTGGAAGAGGCTGAGCTCTCACAATAAAGAATCATCTGGCCCAAGTATCCATAGTGTTGAGGTTGAGAAACTCTAGTAGAACATTGAGGAGAACCTATTGCATGTTATTTTTCTTGTAAAATAAAAGATGTTATGATTTGAAACTGTCTCATTGCTATCTGTTTGTCAATAAAACTTTGAAAAAAAATAAAAAAAAAAGATGTTAATATAGCATTTTTTCTAATCTAAAAACCTCAATTTTCAGGTTTAATTGCCATGTTGGTTTGCTGTGATAAATTGGTTTGGGTTTGGCACTTGGAATCTAAAGGCTCACCATCACTGCTGTGGAGATACAAGAAAAAAATCATGAGGATGTGGTGAGCTCTTTATTGAGTGCTGTGCAGCACCATAGTCAGAACAGGAAGAAAATGAAACAGCAGGTAGTATTTTCACTTTGCCTGCAAAGAATAGAGAGAAGTCCACAGAAAGATGGAACATCTTGAGCACAGGGGTGGGGTGCGTTAGCAGGCAGCCTCCCCAAGAATTCGCAGGATCCTAGATGCTGTGCTTATCCTATATTGGCATCAACTTTTGGTTTCCATGCTTTACACCTTATTGTATATATATATATAAAAAAAAAAATACCACACTGCACAATTTCACAGGGTCATATAGGGGAATGAAACCCCAAGTTGAAATATAACCTGGGACAAGTTTGTGTTCTCTAAAACCGAAGAATGAATTTTAAGAACAATGGAGGTTAAAAGCAGAATATATTTATTGGGGGAAAGAAAGTGTCTGTCCAAGAGAGAGACAAACGGGAACGAAGTGGGCTGCCAAGGAATGTCTTTGGTAGGGATTTTTACAGTGTAAAACCATGTGGTGAGGCGGGTCTAAGATGGGAAACATGGGAACTTACATATGAGGTGGAACAAAACTACAGTCAATCAACAAGATTACAAGTACAACTGCTCAGATAAAAGTAATTAAATCAGGATCAAATGGGAAAAAGTCACTTAGGAAGCGGGCATAAATACAGAATACAGAACAGGTGCTTTTTCTGTAGGGGCTTGGGCTAGTGACTCAGGCTTTTTCTTTTTTTAAGGCGCTAGAGAACTATTTAAAATATCAATCCCTCGTTTTTATGTTTAGGGAGACATGCATTTGTTTGATCTTCTGGCTTGAGGTCTGGCCCACAGCTGGAGGTGTCTGCTGCCTCTTCTACCACTGCAAGGCATCTTGCCTTGAGGACATCTTGTCTTCAAGATGCTCTTGCTGAGGGCCAAGCCCTTGTCTGACAGCCTATAGTATTTCTAGCTAACCCAGCTGCCTACAAAAATATTGTCTTCTGCAATAAATCTAGATCCAAACGGTATGATTCAGCAGAAAGCACATTAATCCAGAACTCATCTCAGACTCTGTAAACTGAAAGAAGAGAGCGGACACCTGGACTAGTCTGGGAGGGCCCCCTCCCCCTTGTGAATGCAGACAAAAGGTCTATACTGGTCTCTTAGTTTCTGTGTGGCGCTATATGGTTCTACAGTTCATCTGACTTCAGAAAAATCCCACAGTCTCAGTTTCATCTTTGCATATGTAGTTCTCATGCCTGAAACAGTTCTTTTTCCTTCTCACGTTCTAAAATTCTATTCATCTTGCCTTTTTAACTTAAAAAAATTACGGTTAAATTTACACACAGCAACAGCATTTCAGATATCTGCATGTGGTAGGTTCCGTGTGCGTGCGGCCGTGCAGCCACCACCGCTCTCGGGAAAGGGTCCGCTGCGGTTCGAGGCGCCCCGGGGCGTCCCTGCAGCAGCGGGCGGGACCGCACTTCCGCCCCAGCACTCGGCCCCGGGCCACCCGCCGCCGCGGACTGCCCCTCCCTGCACCGAATACGCTGCGGCCGACCGGCCCAGACTAGACAAGGCCGGCTTCGGACTGTGGCATTAGGGCCTGGGGCCACCCTGGGAAGGAAGCAGGCCCCGCTGGGAGGGAAGGGCGCCCCACCCCGGCTGCCCCAGGCCGGGTTCCGTGCTGCGCTCGGTTACCGCAGAGGCCAGGCCGGGCGGGCGGCGCAGCCAGGGACGGGAGCGGCCCAAGAACCAGCCTGTCTGGCCGGCTCCGGCTTACCCGCCCCACTTCGGCCACCCTCATCGCTGCCCAGAACTGAAAGCGAGAAACAAACGAAAGCCCACGACAGACCAAAGACCTCGGAGGAAAAAGTCACAGCACGCGGAGTCCGGGCCACACTCACCAGACGCGCGTGCGCAGTCGCGGGCCAGCCCGGAAACGCGGAAGCGCGGGTGCGCAGGCGCACGACAGAGTGCAGCCGCTGCGGCGCCGCGGGGTGTTCTGCGGGACGCGGGTGAGCGCTAGGGTGCCGCTAGGGAAGGGGCTCCTCTAGGGCAAGGGCTGGGGTTAGGACTAGGTCTGCTGCTGGATAAGGCTGGGGCGCCTCCAGGTCTGGAGGGGCACCCCCCGAGTAGGGAGGGGGTAAGGCTCAGTTACCAGGTTGTGGGGTGCGGGAGTCTCCTAAAGGTGATTTCTAGATTCGTTCTGTCTGCGACAAAGATTTGAATAAAACGAGTATAAACAGTGGCAGAGTTTCACATTTATTAAAGGTAAGAGAATACAGGCTCTGCAGAATGAGTTTGGGCCAAGGAAAAATGGGAAAGGAGGAGCAAAACGTGCTGCAGCGTGAAGAGAGAGGAGAGCGAAGGCTTGGTGGTGACTGGTCCCTTCGTTTAATTTCCCATTCTGGCATCACCTCCGGATCCTCCTGCCAGCCTGCTTGAATTCTTGTGAGAGGTCCATGTGCAGGGCGTTTGAGTACTGTTCTGTGCATGTGGTCTGAGATGAGTAGATCACACCTCCTTTGCCATCCAGTGTTGGCCCTACCTTACCTCCCTGCTTCATTTTCCCTGAGAGACACAAATCCCCATAATTATCTATGGGGTGCTGGCAGGGGTCTGCGTCTTCTCTAACGTCTGAAAGGTGGAAATGTAGCCCCCACCTATTAGGATTATGTGTTCTCTACCTTGAAGTATTGTTCGCTGGCTGGGCTGAAGAGAGAAGAAAAAAAAAAGAAAAGAAAAACAGAAACTTTTAGAAGACAGTGAGAAAAATAATCAGTAACTGTTCTACCCTCTGTCTGAGGGTGATGTGAGTAAAGTGTAATTGCCAGTTCTCCACAGGGTGTGTCCCTCTTCCTGTACAGGTTCTAAAAAAAAAGGGTGTGGGGGGAAACTACCCGCTCGGGGCCCCCCCTCCTGTCCCTCTCTCGGGACAGGAGCTTTCTTTCTCTCAACAAATATATTCTGCTCATAAAAAGATAAATAAATAAAAATAAATTTTAAAAAGGGTGTGATTTAGGCTTTCCAGGGTTATTGGTTATTGTAGGCATGGAGTGGTCAAACCTGTGAAAATTCAAGAGATCATTTCCCAGGTAGCATCTCTTCCCTAACGGAAAGAGTCATGAAGGGTTTTTATAGCTTTCCACTGTGTCCCTTGAGTAGGACCAATGTGTTTTCTAAATGTCACCGGAGTCCCATCTTAATTCCTTCTCCTAAGATTCATTTATCTTTGAGGCTACAGATGGTTCTAATGGTTCATTGGGAGCTGGGAATGAGGCTTAATGTCTTGAGGGGTTGTAAGACTGACCCTTTTGTTTCCTTATCAGCCTTCTGATTTTTCTTTTTTTAATTAATTTATTTATTACAGGGACTAGCTACACAGTTCAGGCTCTGAGTGATCCTCGTGTCTCAGCCTTCCCAGTGCTGGGATTACAGGTGTGCACCACCATACATGGTTCCCGGGCCAGCACAGCATGTTGTATCGAGGACTGAACCCAGGTCCTTGCACTTGCTAGGCAGGCACTTAGACTGCCAAGCTATCTCCCAGCCCCTAGCCTTCTGATTTTTCTAAGACACTTGAGGCATGTATCTTTGGTGCCAAATACAGTACATAATGGCAGCCTACTTGAGAAAATGGACTGCATATAGGAGCTACAAAATTCCTGATTACTTATTTGTTAGAAAGCTCCTTTCCTTCCATATTGCATTGAATGTAACATCAGAAAGCATATTTGGTATATGCATAGACATACTGTTTAGCTTTTTGCCTTTTCCTAATATGCACACCCAAGTAAAAGCTACTAGCTCTGGCTTTTGAGGGAAAGGGGAGAAGGGCTTTGGCTTCAATGATCTGTCCTGAACTGACACCTACACAACCAGCCTTTTGATGTCCTACTTAAACAAAGCCACTCTGTCAGTGAAGCACACAGCAGGATCCTGGAGGGGCAGGTCACTGATGTTCTATCTGTTTGTATAGATCTTGGAGATCACTTGTTCACAATATTGGCTAAGGTCAGGATGTGTAGGCATCAAAGAGGCAGAATTAAGAGTAGTGCAAGTTTTTATCATTACCTTAGGGGTGTCTAAGAGCATGGCCTGATGCCTATTTTCCTCTTAATCACAGGAGATTAGCCTTTAGTTTCAAGAATTACCCAGACCTGGACTTCTAGTTTTTGTCCTACAGTTTTTTTTTTAAAGATTAGATACCTTTTAAAGTTTAATATTATGATTGTTACATAAAAGTAATCACCAATAAAAGCACTCATCTCCGAGGCAGAGCAACAGATAGATTTCTATGGGTAATGTATGTGCAGTATGGGAAAAGCACTGATTGGTCAACACTGACCCAATGATGAAAAATAAGTTTTTCTTTCTTCCACTCACAATTTGGTCCTATACATAAGGTTTAAGGACACATATTAAAATTTCTGGTCATCAAAACTATTTATTACTTCATAGATTTACATGGGAGAATAAAGTCATTTACATTTTCTACAAATATTCTTTCAGTTAAAGACCAAGCTAGAATAAATTTAGTTTTTGTTTTAGATCATTTAAAACAAATGATTACAAAAACTACAATTTCAGTTAAATCACTCTCCAATTACTATTTAAAAAAGAAGTTCCTAGGGCCAGGAAGATAGCTCAGGGCATAAGCACCTGCCTGGCAAGCACAAGGTCCTGAGTTCGATCCCTGACACATTAAAAAAAAAAAAGGAAAAGAAAATTTCTAGTTTTGAGAAAGTAACAAATCTACTTTCATAGTGTGCAGTACTATTAGGTAGAGTTAGAAAACTGAGGAAACAGACTTCACTGTTGAGTAGAAGACTTTTGATAGACAACCAAGGCCCTTCCCCGTCACTAGTGTAAAACTAGACTGGATCCAACCCTAACCCATATTAATGTACTTCCTCTAGTTTTCTTCTCTTTTGTTTCCTCAGTGTGGAAAAGAACAAATTGCCTTTGAGACTTCCGAAGCTTTATTAAAGTTAGGTGAGAGGTGGCTAGGAGTCTTCTGCCTACAACTTTTCAGAAGGTGAATGAGTTCATCAGTTACCTCTGTGCTTCATCGCTACTGTCCGAGGAAAGAGGCCATGGGGTCATCTGGCCTCTGGCGCTTCATCCTGTAGGCCTCCATCTCCTCTTCAGTGGGCTCCCGAGCTTCATATACACTGTTGTGAGGCCGCTTCCTCTCATCAATCTGCATGATCTCCTTGACTTGAAGAAGGCGGGCTTCTTCAGCATTCAATGCCTTCTTCAATTTTTCATGTTTCTTTTCCTCATCATCACTCTCTGAGCTGCTCTTTCGGCGCTTCTTCTTTTTCTTCTTCTTTTTCTCCTCCTTTAGTTTTTCTTGGTGCATCTCCATGCGAGTTTGAGGTTTTTTCATACATTCTTCTCCAGTTATATCATCTGTAATACATTCCTCTGAGTTAACAATCTCCTTCCCCGCGTCCCCTGTACAATAGGAATACTTGAAAAATGAGTGGCAGCATCTGTATCCCCATCTGCCTTCTTTCCAGGAGGATCCCCAGATATGTGTGTGATTGTTGATCTTCATGTCTTCCTCATACTTGGAGCAGGCAACAGCCCACTCCTGCCCTTTGATGACTGTGCCATGTCTTGAGTACTCCACGTAATCCTCTGTCTGTGCTGGGAGCAACTCAGCCGGAGGCGCATCCAAGTGTTCCTGGCCACCATACTTTTCCAGGATGCTCTCTTTCTGCTGTTCCTTGAAATCTTCTTTTTTGACTTTGAAGGACTTATACAGCAGCTCTAGTTTTGTAGGATCTGCCTGCAGATGCCCTTCAGACCCTGTCATAGGTTTTCCAAGCAAACAATTGTGTCTGAGCCACCGAGATAGTATCTCCTGTGTATCTAATGAAGTTATCTCCAGCATAACTCACTTCATCTGGATTCTTCCCTGCATTGGCATATGGATTCTCTCTCATTGCTCTAGTTTTTGGGTCATAATAGGCAGAATTTGGATCCAAATTTCTCAAATATTTTGCAATATCTTTTCGAATCCTGAGATTTCTGACAGTGATTCGTCTCTTGGAGTCAAAATTCTGCCCAGGCATGTCAATGTCATCTGCATATTTATCTTCATCCTCATTTTTGCTATTATAATCTTTCTCCATCTGAAAGTTTGGTTCCTCTTCTCTCCACTGGTGTTTTGGAGAATTAGCTTGTTCTGCTAATTTTCCTGAAGCTAATTCTTCTTGCAGTTTCTGGGCTTTCAATGTTCCTTTTGCCAGGTCCACTTTGGCATACTCCTCCACAATTTTCATGTGTTCCTCTGGATTGTAGCCATTCCACCGATCTCTCTTCCCATCATAGTCAAACTCCAACTGAGGCTGGACATGTTCATCTGGAGCTATGTTAGTGCCTGTAAATTTGGCTCCAACTCGCCTAGGTCTCTCAAAGCAGTCCTTCTTCTTGTGTGTCATGGCCCCACAGTTTTCACATGCTCCCTTGCGGTACGTGGTTGTTACAGAATTCTCTTTGACACCTCTCTTGTACCATTCTCCAGATGAACTGAACTGCTTTTGTTTTTCTGGCTGTGGTCTCTGATGCTTTAAGGTAGGTCTTTTGGATGGATCAATATACCATGGCACTGAAGAAATATACTGAGGAATATGAGGATTGATGTCTTTTCCTTCTTCATCAACCTCTGCAGGAGCATTGCCCAACTTCTGCTGTTCCTCTAACTCCTTCTTCTTTCTCCAGTCCTCTCTAGTCATCTTCTTTGGTTCCTCTAAATTCATTTCTTTGGACCCCAACAGGGGTGCCGCGTTAGCTGTGTCCACGGCTGCTGCCGACATGATGACGGGGCTGCCTCACTTCAGCCGCCTCCACTCAAAAATCATCTGACATAGAGTCAGGCAATCCGCAAATCTGTCCTACAGTTTTACAGCTTTTCCTGTTAGCATAGCTGTAGTTGCTACTATGCCCAGGCAGAGTGGCCTTCCAGCACCTCCTTACTCTAACTTTTTGTAAAAGTATGCCACTTGGTGGAGTTTTTGTGCCAGCCTTTGGGTCAAGACACCTAAAGCAATTATTCTCTTTTCTGACATGTAGAAAAAGGACTTTCTTAAATAAGGTGCTCAGTGCTGGAGCCTGAATAATAGTATATTTTATTTCTCTAAGGCATTGTCAGTCATATTCATTATAGGGGCACCAACTCAGAATGTTTGATTGCCTATATAAAGGCTTTACTATTAGTCCAAGAGTTAGGTATCCAGATCTGATAGAAGGCAGTCATTTCCAGGAAAGAACGAAGGTGTTGCTTGGTGGCAAGAGGTCCAAGATCACAGATACCTTGAATCTACTCCCAAGACAGCTGTCATTCCTCAGGTGTAAGAATGTATCCCAAATATTGAATTTTCTGGAGTGCTATCTGAGCCTTTCTTGAAACTTTAAATCTTTCTTAGCCTGAAAATTAATGGTTTGGATAGTATTCTGGTTGGATAACATCCAAATTGAACTGCAGATTAGAATATCATCTACATACTATAGGTTGTTGCCCTGTCTAAGGTATAGTTTCCTTAAATGTTTTTCTAGTGTCCAAGCAAAAAGATCAGGGCTGGGCCGGCCAAATAACTCAGCAGATTAAAGCGCCTGCAAGTAAGTGAAGGGGCCTGCCCCTCGGGGGCGCTAAGACAGCAATTGAGACTGTGTGTGGTAGCACGAGCCTGTAATCCCAGCACTCGGGAGGCTGTAAACAGGAGAATCACTTTGAGTCCCATCTAGTAGTGAGACCCTGAACACCCTGTAGACCCTTCCCCCCCCCCAAAAAAAAAAGAAAAGAAAAAAAGAAAGAAAAAAAAAATCAAGGCTATCTCTAAAGCCCTGTCAGAAAACTATTCAAATATATTGCTACTTTTTTCTTGAAATTGAGTTTTTCCATTCAAAAGTAAACAGAAACTTGAAAGTCTGGGTGGAGGAATAGAAAAGAAAGCATCTTTGAGGTCTAAGACTGAGAACGAATATATGTCTCTTGGAATTTAGGAGAAAATTTTATATAGATCTGCCAACAGTGGATGATTAGGTTTAGAACTTGATAATGAAGTGGAGAACTTATACCATCCTATATTCTCCTGAAGGCTTTATTCCAGGAGAATGGGAGTATGCAAGGGTGATACAGGGAGAAAGGAACTCCCAATCTGCTAGATGTCTAAAACATCAAGCTTGTGTTCTCTAAAATTGAAGAATGAATCCTAGGAATAACAGGTTAATAGTAGAAAGAATTTGTTGAGAGAAAGAAAGCTTCTGTCTGAGATGAACAAAACAGGCCCAGAAAATGGGTTGCCCACAAACCCAGCTTAAGGGTGCTTTATTGTACAAAGTCATGAGGTGAGGTGGGTTTAAGGTGGAACAGAACTATAATCAATCAGTAAGATTGGTTGCTTAGGTAATATTGATCCAGTGGCAAATCAAAGGATGAGTGTGAGGAGGGACAGAACTGCGGTGAACCAATAAGTATACAACAAATATAGTTGCTTGGGTAACATTGATTAAATGGGGATTGTTGTGATTACTTTTCTGTCTTTGCTGAGACAAAATACCCAACATCCAAAATTAAGGAAGGAAAGGCCAATAGTTCAAAGTTTGTAGAGATTTCAGTCATAATTAGCTGGCTTCAAAGCAGAGTGACATGGTAAAGGGGCAGTAGTTCAAGGTGGCAAAAGACAGGAAAAGCAACAAGAGCAAAATGATAGGTTACAGCCCAAGTACGGACGCTAAATTATCATGGGCCTGATCCAACATAACTAAATTCCCAAAACAGCAGCTTATGTTCCCAGTGCCACTTCCTCCTTCCCCACTCTAAACCTGGATGCAACTCCCTTTTACCTTTCCCGCCCACACAAGGGAGCCTCCAATCAGCTCCTTATATGTCACTGACCCCGCCCCTCAAGCTCTGCCCCTAGCAAAAGTCCGTAAGGTCTCATCCTCCCTGTCTCAGGTCAGAGGCTCCGCCCATCTCCCTGCCCTTGATCCTCTCCATGTCTTCAGAGTTAATAACGCCTCCCCCACCATGCCTCTAAAACCTATCACAAAAGAGGGATGAAAGCAAGCTTTTTTGCTCCCTTAGATTATGCACCAGCTATTGGCTCACATTTCATTTGACTGCTTTCCTCTTCCACAAGTTCAGGGTGTTAACAAACTATCTATGAGAAGCTAGAGACCATTATGGTTTTCTTCTTTAGTTGGATACTGCTTTGGATTTGGAAATTGGCTGATGTATTCTAGTTTTATAACTACTATGGGGCTGAAAGCTGTCTGTGTACACTAGTGGTCTAGCATGGTGAGGGCCGAGAAATACTGGCCTCCACTAGAGCACTAGCCTCTAGTGGAGTTTCTGAGTCATTTGGAAGGGATGGGACTGATTTGCTGGCCTGAGGATTACCAGGACAAGGTCAAGGAGACCTCCCAGTGTGGTTGTCTTCATTAAACAGATGAGACAGTTAAGGATCTGAGGACAGGACCATCGAAGATCTCTCTTCCTTGGTGCTGATATAGGGGAAATTAAACTCCCAACCCAAAAGGTACCTGGGATGAGTTTGTGTTCTCTAAAACCAAAGAATGAATTTTAGGAACAAATGGAGGTTAAGAGCAGAATATTTATTAGGGGAAAGAAATCTTGTGTTTGAGAGGGACAGAAGGGGGTCCCTCACGGGTTATGCCTGGGAAGCTGTCTCTTCCAAAGACTTTTTAAAAAACCATGCAGTGAGGCAGGTCTAAGGTGGAGAGCATGGGAACTTGCTTAGGTGGGCATGAGGTGGGACAAAACTATGGTCAACTAATAAGATTACAAGTAACATTGCTCAGGTAAAATTGATTCAATCCAGAACCAAATGGGGAAGCAAGTCAAATATAGAACAGGAGTTTACCTGGTAGCCAGCTGGTAGTGGTTGGATTAGTGACTCTTCCTGGCTTCCTTCCAGGTAATGATAAATCCCAGATGCTTATCTTTAGGAAGATAAGCATTTGTTCTATCTTTGGTCTTTAAGTCTGGCCCACAGCAGGAGCATCTGTCTCTCTCATGCTTGCAACATCTCTTGTCTTCCATGCTGTCTCCATGAGGGTCTGGCCCTCTCTGACTGCCTATAATATTTCTAACTTAGCTACCTATGACAGTGCCACTCTAAATACCACAGTTTCTGGACTTTCCATGAGATAAAAGGTCAAAACAGCCTGAATATAAGGGATTTCATTCCACCTTCTGTATTTTAAGCAGAAGTGATTGAACTGAAAAATAGTATCAATTTAAACTACCATTCTGTGCTGGAGAGATAGCTCTGTGGTCTAAGTGCCTGCCTGGTGAGCTCAGGGACCTGGGTTTGATCCCCAGGACCTCAGGCCAGGTGTGGTGGCACACGAAATCCCAGCACTGGGGAGGCTGAGATGGGAAGATCACTAGGCGCTAGCGAGACCCTGTACCAAATACATAAATAAATAAAAGATTATAAATAAATAAACTACCATTCTGTTCTCATATTAGTTCAACTGTATTACAATAATAGGTAAGTTATTCCTTTTTAAAATTGGAAGGGTCAAACCCTGCCCATTGATCAAGGATACAGCCTAGTGGTAGGATCAGTGAAATTTATGGATTGCTGTTTCCTATGACCCATCTTGGAGCAGACAGAGACACAGAGAGAGACAGAGAAACTAGCTCTTGGGTCCTTCAGATGGCATCCCACACAGAAGCAGGAGAAACAATCTGAGCTCACAGAAAGCTTCCATTTTGAGAGTCAGGCATTCATTAGGCAGATATCTCTGTCTGAGGCTAGGAAGACACTAATGTCCTTAAAAGAGATTCCTACTCAGGACCTTTAGTCTTATGACTCTCTATACTGTGAGAGTCATAATTGTTTAGACTGTGGCCTGATAATTGTTTAGAGAATAAGGTGTAGTTTTTCAAAACTCCCAAGAGAAGAGCTGGTCAGATAGTTCAGCAGATTAAATCACTTGTTTAGGCAGGCTCAGGGACTGCCCAGGGCATGCAGAGATGCTGAGACTGGGTGTGGTCCCACACTCCTGTAATCCCAGCACTTGGGAGGCTGAAGCTAGGTGGATCACTACAGTCTGATCTGTGTAGTGAGACCCTGTAGACCCTGTGCTAGATATATTAAACAAAACAAAAAACTTCCAAGAGATCAGGAAAGATTCTATCCTGTCTCTGACTCCTTTAGGCATTTTGAGCTTCTTCCTAGTTTTTCTTTTCTTTCTTTTTTTTTTTTTTTTTTTTTTTTTTTTTTTTTTTTTTTTTTTTTTTTTTTTTTTTTTTTTTTTGCAGTACTGGGGATTGAATTCAGGACCTTGAGCTTGTCAGGCAAGTGCTTATTCTACTGAGCTATCTCTCCAGCCCCATTTTGAGCTTCTTGATGGCTCTACTTAAATAGAGCAGAGCCCATTGAAAAATAGTATCTCTTATATTTAACCTGATAAGCTTTGGTACTTTGTTCAAACCAGTAGAGGAAACTGCTTAAAAACAGAACAAAACAAAACACCCTAAAAAGTTTTAAGAACAAGGATGGCTCTGCTTTTGCATACTCAGTCACTTGAATTAAGCTTTACTGGCTGGTTCTGCTCAGGCCATCAGGCATATGTTTAAATAGCTGAATCTTGTTAGAAGAAATTAAGAAGGGCTCTAGCCCAATTCAAGAGAAAAGATGGAGGAAGCTTCCTCGTGCTTTATATGTAGAGGCTTAGCTCCTATCTACAAGGGTGAGATTTCCCAGAGTCCATGAGGCCAGTTGCAAAAAAAAAAAGCAAATATGACAGAACCCAAGTGGTTAATTCATATGACAAACCAACCTGGCTGCCAGTCATGCGATGAACCACACTGGGACAGCTAAGGCCAT